GTTTATTGATGCTTTTGCCAAGGAGACATTTGCAACATTGATTTAGACTAAACCATACATAGGGGTGGAAGGAACACAATAAGGGTGAAGTCATCACCTGCTTCAATTGACCCTGACCATCTATCCACCATTTTTTCAATGACTACTTCAAACAGTTCCCCTGTGCGTAGTGTTCTGTTGCTCATCACAATGGCATCATTGAATTCCCCCGTAGCATTTGGCCGACACGCAGTCAGGCCATTGTTCGTTATCATAGCATTAGCACCGTGTAAGTGATGGAAGCGTAAATCGTTCGTCTGTTCATCTTGGGTCAATGTAATGTTACTGGTTCTCCTCATGCTTCGAACAGAATTGGGATTGTTGTCCATTTGTTGTACAGGATCTAGCAAGAGAACATAGAACAACATGCTTTTTATGAAAAGAAACAAAAACAAGATATACAGGACTCAACATTAACAGCAGCCAAAGACGGAATAACTACAACTCTTCTCCTTGGGTTACCATTTACCAAAATCAGTGGTCAAAATAAACTATGAGAAATTCACAAAATACAAGTACTTTTTTTTCTAAAATAAGCCAATTTGTCTTCAAATTATGGATGTTGAACACAAATAAGGCCAAATGACATGATATATTTCTATTGACTTTTTTTCTGCATAGCTGTAAGTACCTACTAAACCTGATAGACACCAATGTTACTATGGACTTCAGCTCTCAAGACAAGGTAGCCCAGCAAACTTCCAAAATTATAATTTTAATTCCTAAGCCCAAACATATTTGGAGAAATATAATAATTTCTACATACCGCTAGAATCAATAATAGATGCTTCAGCAGCTTGTCCATAAAGATCTATGACTGCATAGAGTACATCGGGTATGTTGTAAGCCGCAGTTCCTTGATCAATACCATTGACGTAGAAATGTAACGTGCCATTCTCTTTTCTCATTACCCCAACACAATCTCCAACCTATCACAATAAACCATATGACATGTTAGTATATTGTAGTCTTCTTTTACAAAATATATCATATATTTTTTAAGACTTGTAGGCAATGGAAAATTATGTTCATTTGATCCAAAGTTAAGAAGGAATACATAAAATTGTGTAAAATCTTGCATCACAACTTTGGTGGAGAAAATTATGATGTAGAAATATCAATCTGGTGAGGGGGTTTCTGTCGCATACGACTTATTTACTACTTCCGTGTCACTGAGAATGTTCTAGAACCGTACTGTGTCTGGGTGGAATATTCTAGATTTTTTTTTAGAGAATGGTTGAATAGGTAATAGAACACTGTAGGAGGCAATAGAAGGTAATGGAACATTCTAGAAATTGGTAGTAAATTCCAGACTCATTATGTATGCTGATGTAATGGTCTATTTATAGACAGTGTGGGTATATATAGGGGAGTTGTTGAGCACTGAGTTCAGATCGGAGATCTCGTTGAATTGTATTGGAGTTTAAGTATCTAGTTATTGGAGGTTTGGAGTTTTACCGCATTATTGTACTTGATGTTTGCAGAGTATAATAATACCACTACCAGTTGAAACCTCATCTGTCGGTTCCGTGTTCGTATTTTATCATCGCTGCCAGGGAAGTCTTTCTGTTACTGTTGCCATTTTGGTATTTGAACCATCACACCTGTACTATACCAATTACGGTAATATTACGTTGCGTGTGACAGTTTAAAAAAATGGTCAGAAACTTGTGAGATGATTGTATTAAAATTGGTTTAATTTAATGCAAATACCAAATGAGATAACATGAAGAGTTGAAAAAATGTTTTAGAATGTCGTCATTTCTTCAAACTAGTAACGATGTGTTAAAGTTGGTAATTTTGTACTTACACCAAGTCTATCCAAGTTTTGTCCATATTCATCTATGACTGTTGTACCATTATGCATTATACCATTACCTGTCATCATCCAGGTACCACTACGTATGTTTGTCATTGTAGACGGAAACTCTAAGAAATACAGGAATGTACAATGATGTTGAAGTATAGAGGACTTTCTACATGTAATAACAAGTTTGTGGATTAGGAATTGGGTTAACATGGGTAAACATAGATAATGGGTTCACAGGTATTCGATTAAAGTAAGTATTGTTAATTTAATATAGGTGTTGGGTTAACATAGGTATTGGGTTAACAAACATGTTGGGTTAATGTACATGTATGGTTAATGTAGGTTTAAGATAATGTAGGTATCCAGTTAACCAATTCGTTAAATTCAAGTAAGGGTCGGATTAATGTGGGTATTGTATTAACAAGTGTTATTGCGTTAACGAAGGTGTTGGGTTAATGTAGGTGTCAAGCTAACAGCGGTGCTGGGATAACAGAGGTGTTGGGTATATATTACCTATTTCCCTCGGTGAGTGTGTAGTAACACCGATTTCGATAGACCCCGCCCATTTGTCAACAATTTCATCCAGACGCACTTCAAATACTTCATTATTTCTCAATGGTCTATTGGTAAGTATGACACCATTGTTGAAATCATCCATTGCACTGATAAGAAAAATACAAAAACATTTCTGGTCAGAAAATATTTCTAATTTAATACACATTGGAAGCCATACAAATGTTACAGGCAGTATACATTGTACTAGCTCTATGGAACCTACCCGTTATTATTATTATTATTATTATTATTATTATTATTATTATTATTATTATTATTATTATTATTATAATAATAATAATAAGGCCACACTGATTTAATTTTATTGATTTTTAGACATCCTCTGGAGACTCCAAAACTAATGCGAGAGAGAGAAAAAAAAAAATCCTGCCAAAAAAAAAAAAATCCTGCTAAATCCACAGGACTCTCCCTGGCCGATGTCAATTGCGTACCAGTCAACAACAATCCCCCAGTTTTTAATCTGAACTTTTATGCTCACGTATTTTGGTGGCGTAGTCGCCATGTTGGAATTCCCGGCAACGCAATACGTATGTGCAGAAGATCATTTACAACAAAATTGGCACGTTTGGAGGTAGTCCAAAACAAGTTTTACAACAAGCCAGCGCTTTGCGACAATATGAGTCGGCAAGTTCCGGACAGAAAACAGATCTGTGGAGAGTCGTCGTTGGAGATTTTTTTTTTTTTTGGAAAACAGGCGAAAACTAATGCGCGCACGGATGTCATCCATAACCTTTATTATAACCGTAAAGAAGTTACAATTCTTTTTTGGTTTGTAAATAATAAAGTATTTTTTTTTTTTTTTATATAGTGTATATAAACATCAACTTAACTACTAGTTAGTGCTAGTCTTTTAGTAAAAGCATTGTTTAAAGGGGAACTAAATAGAGCCTATTTTGGTGTTTGTATTTATCAAGTTATGTATATTGATTATAAATTTGAAAAAAAAAATAAAAAAAATGATTATCTTCAGAGTTATGATGATTTAAATATGAGAAACCATAAACCTGCGAAGGACTTCCGTTTGCGCCATCTTGCCATAAAACAACGCCCTCATGAGGTATAAACAGGTAAGGCAACAAAGCATGATGACGAAATAG